CTCTCTCTCTCTCTCTCTCTCTCTTTTCTCTTCTCTTTTTCTCTGTTTACTTTCTTCTCCTCCTTCCTAATCCTCCAGATAACATTGCAGGACTGTTTAAAATATGGTCCTTTTTAATCTGTTTATGTGTATCAGCGTGTGTTTGTTCACGGTCATCTGATTAACGGTTTTCAATTACATTCCCTCTCCTTTAGAAGTGTGTGTGTGTGTGTGTGAGTTGATTCTCTCATGCCTACATTTTTTTTTTTTATTTGCAGGCTGCTATCAGTAAATAACAATAAGTGTTTATCTCGCATGCTGAGATAGTTACTCATTCTCTCTTCCCCTCTTCAAATATGCATCGCTCACACACATTCTTTCTCTCTCATATTGCATTGATCTAAAAGTGATCAGTTTTGGCGTCTATCAGGCGTCTGTTGGGTTCGACTTTGTTTATGACACACACACACACACACACACACACACACACACACACACACAGACAGCGTATGGGTCAACGGGTTGACTGTGTTTACGACTGAATATGAACTGAACGACCACAAATAAACACAAAGCTCGCGCGCATTCTCGCAAAAACACATGCAGTATCTCCCTGTCACGACTGTTGTGAACAGTGCGACCACAATTGTTCTCTTTTTGAACAAAAGAAAGATTATGGTTTAACATAAAACACATGCTCGGTTATTTGATGGCTTTGTATAGTGATTATAAGGCAGGGAGTGGAGGGATGGTGGGAGAAGGGGAGCGACGGAGGGAAAGGGCAGGAACAGAAAGAACGATTTTAACGGCGGAATTGCTTAAATTATTTCAGCAATTATTCTTGCATGTGAAAGAAGGCATTGCGGAGGAGAAGAAAAAAAATGCTTTGACAAGTGCTTTCTTTTTTTTTTTTTGGTTTGATAGCGCTATTTTACACTGATTACAAGCGAGCGTGGTGGCGGTGAGAAAGACATGGAAAAGGGCGAAAGGTCGAGAGAGAGAAAGAACATGAGAGGGGGACAAAAGAAAAATGGGATACGAAATGAGAATAAAGAAAACAGAGGAAACTGAAGGACAGGAGGCGACGCAGAGAGAGCACGAGAGACAGTGAGGGATGAGAAAAAAGAGAGTTTGCAAGCCAGAAAATGAATGAAAAGCACGCAGGACAGAGATGCAAAAAAAAAAAAGAAAGAGAAATTTAGAGCGCTGGAGGGGATGAATTGCAGTCCGCCGCCTCCCTCATCCATCTTTCTGATATGGGGTGTTCGGTTTGATGTGGTTGTGTGTTGGCCATTCTCCCCCCCCCCTCGTCTCTCTCCTATGTCTGTCTCTTCCTCCCCCCTTTCTCTCTCTCTGTGCCTCACCCTCCTCTCCGTCGCTGTCTCAGTCTCTCTGATATGGTTTGGGTTTTGATGTGGTCACGTGTCGAGGATTCTCACGGATGGTTTCCATAACGATAAAAAAGATTCACTCCCTAGTTAGGAGAAGAGGAAAAAAAAAAGAGGCAAAAAGTTGCACGGCGGGTGTGTGTGTGTGTGTGTGTGCGACGGCCACGCACACACACACCCCGAAAAAAATCTCTCACAGCTGAGATGTTTCTGATTTGTCACGTCTGTTTTTCTTTGACGAGGTTTGTGGTTGGGGATCGTCACAGATTTCGGCGTTCAAAGAAGTTTGTAAATTGAATCAAAGCTGCTCTGTACATCATTGTCAGAAAATGTTGCGCGTGCGTGTGATCCGCAGAGTATCATGCGAAGACACCTTGCATCTTTTAGCGTCTCGACTTTGAGAGATTATGGAAATGGACTGGCTATTTTTATCCTCCAGCGCCTTCACATGTACATAACAAACTAAATAATACAATAACGTAGCCTCGCAGTGAAACCAAACTTTTTTCTGCCTGTTTCAGAGATGGTGAGGAAGAAGAATCCCCCTATCCGGAGTGTGGGAGGTGAAGAGGAGGAGGAAGAGGAGGGGAGGAGGCCAGCAGGAGAAGAGGAGGAAGAAGGGGAGGAGGAGGGGAGAGTGGGAGCCGAGGCCGAGCGAATAAACCGACCCTCCGAACCAGAGTCCTCCGAACGGATCAGAGCGGATGAGGAGCAGCAGCAACAGGAGGAGGAGGAGGGGGAGAGCGAGTGCATTTCCTCGTCCGTCTCCCCCTCGTCTGTCGGCGATCGCTACGGTAACGAGGAGAGAGGGGGGAGGAGGGGAGGGAGGGCCAAGCAAGGAGGACCGGCGGCAGCGGCAGCGGCGGCGGCAACCGACAGACCCGAGAGCCAGTCGGAGCCTGAGGATGGGGAGAAGGGGGTAGAGGAGGGGGAGCGGGGCGACAGAGACAGGGGGGAGGCAGATCACCTCACCCCTCCCTTCCCCTCCGCTGCCCACCACCTCCTCCTCCCCCGGCAGGAAGGAGGGGAGGAGTCGGCGACGGACACCCCGCCGCTCTGCTACAGCCCCTCTCCCAAACTCCAGGACTTCAAGTGCAATGTGTGCGGTTACGGTTACTATGGCAACGACCCCGCCGACCTGGTGAAGCACTTTAGGAAGTATCACCTGGGTCTGCACAACCGCACACGACAGGATGCTGCCCTCGACACGCACATCCTGGCCCTCCACAACATGGCTCCCCAGCACACACCTCTAGGTAACGCCGGCTTTCAAGTGTTTTACGCCTGTTTACGTGAAATGGTTCTAAATGGAAAATGATCCTTGCATTGATTTGTTAAGTGAGCATCGCTGATTAAGCCTCGGACGGATCGCGTGCTGGCATGATGCCAGAGTTAACAAGTGTAGAGGAATTAATCTGAACCAAAACAGCCTGAAGTACGTTCAAACTCAGGGTGTTTCATAAAGTCTCTCTTTGCGATCATACAAACGGGTCAGTCCATCTCCAGTTATCACATTTTAAAGACAATTTCTGCTCGACCGTGTTGGATTTGCTTGAAATTTTTATAGTGTTAAATATGGATATTTCACAGAAATATATGGATCAATTTTACAAAAACATTTCTGAAATTTTAACTCATACTTTCTGAGCTTAAATGTTTTTGAAAATTGCCCGTTTGACCCACTTTCAGCACGTTTTTTTTTTTTTTTTTCCCGGACATTTATATTTGAGGCTGTATTTGGATGACGATATCTCACAATATTGAATATAACAGCCTGTCAGTTTGGCTGCTATTCCTCATCATGCCTTTGATTCTGAATCACTACGTGATTTCTGAATTATTCATTTTTGTTAATGCATGCTCAAAGACAGGACTTTGCCACCCTGCGTCCAATTTATTTTTTTTTTTTCATATTTTACCTCCCCCATAATCAGAGATTATTTGAATCTACTTTTCCAGTGTTGCAGATACCGAATCAATGGCATGATGGGAAATAACTGTGAAAGTTTCAGGCTTTTAACTTCAATAGTTGCGGAGATATTTTCAACTCAAATTTCAATGCATTAAACAAAACATGCTGAAAGCGGTTCGATGGGCGATTTAAAAAAAAAAAAAAAAAACAATCTCAGAAAGTGCTCACAATGTTGACAAATACCATTTTATATGTTCATAGTTTATGATTTTAAAAAAAATTTCATGCAAATCAGACATGGTTGAGCAGAAGACCCTTGATGATTTGACATGGAGTAACCCAAATGCAGATGGGATGTGAGGACGTTAAGTTCAAACACGCTCAGGTTGTGTTCCACTTACTTCCAACAGCCGTTTTCCTTCTTCCAAGATGACTGACTTGTCCTCAGATTCTTTTCCTGTTTTTCGCCTCGAGCAGCTTGACCTCTCTTTGTTTATGTTTCTACCAGTCTGACCCCCTCCTTGTATTTCTCATGTCAGACATCCAGGCAGGACAAGGGCAGAGGAGCCAAGCCAAAGAGTTGGGAAAGACGAGGCCAGATATACAGAATCCACAGCACAGGACGGTTATGATGAACGGCACATATGACGTACAGGTAAGAACTACCTGTGTGGATGTGCGCAGCTATTTTGTCGTTTGGCATTCATTCCTTTAAACCCCTGCAGTACCAAAAAAAACCCTGCATACACGAAAAAAGCAGTACTAATGCCCACACAGCAATAAGTCATAAAGTTTAAAAGAAATGACAAAGTAAGGAATAAACACAGCAGCTCAGTACATCTCATTATCTGGTAGCCTGTCGTTAATTGGATTGGGAAAAAAAAGCCTTCCTGGTTTATATTTTCATCTTATTTTACCTCCTCAGTCCAAAAAACAGACTGGATTTCTGTAGCCTTCAGTCCTCTTTTGTTTACCTTCACTGTCGAAGAACTCCTCCTGTTTCATTTCCCACTTTCCGACTTTATCTACAAACTTTTCTACAAAAGGACAATGTTGTGGGATTTGGTGAACCTCATCCCGTCAGCATCGCACCGCATAAAGCTTCTTTGTTCGTCGGAGCTAAAGGTCAAATGAAGCAAAAAAAGCAGACATCAGAATTCACAAGAAGCAGATATAATGCAGCGCCTTGATGTCACCGCACTGGTGTTGTGGTGACCGAGCGCCGAGTCCATAAATGTATTAATAATGACTTATTGCCGGAGTTTCAATTGGAGCTCATGTTTTGAAAGAATAGAATAAAAATCCTGCATTTTGCAGCACCTCCAAACAAACACCTCGGAGTCCCAAACTGTGGCCTTCTTAAGCCTCCGAACCTCGAGCAGCTTCTGGGCATTTTCAGCTCCTGTCACATTTCCGGTCACCGTGGGCTCTTTTTTCACTACGTTATAAAGTTCTGCACCTCCATTTTTAAAAGCAGTGCAGAGATGTCTTTTGTGAAGTATGACAAAATGCCATAAACTTTGAAATAAAGAAAAAATTGAAGTTTTTTTGATTTGTGATTTTGCAAAAATTGAAAAACATGGAATCAGCATGAACAACAACCGTTACCAATACTTGAAAAACAAATGGTGGCTCTGCATACATACTACCGTAATTTCCAGACTAGTGAGCGCACCTGAATATAAGCCACACCCACTAACTTTAAAAAGAAAACTAGTTTTGTACATATACAGGCCGCACATGTCCACGTTGTAACATGAGATAAGATGTTAACAGAAAGATTTTTTAAAACTTTTTATTAAATACGTACCGGTAACATACACAAATGCTTTTTTCCGAACAGTGCCTGTAACACGGCTGGTTAAGAAAATAAAAACTACAGCAGCCTACCAGGAAAAGTCATTGATCGCTATCTTCAGTGTCACTTGAGACAAATTCGTAAAAATCCATAAATTAGCCGCATCGTTGTTTAAGCCGCAGTGTTCAAAGCGTGTGAAAAAGGTAGCTGCTTATAGTCCAGAATTTACGGTGTTATATTTTTAACTTATCACACTTTCCTCCTATTTGCTCGGTGTAAGCACAGCCTGCAGTTCAGCCCGTTTCAGTACATTTTTGTGAATGTTGAAAGCAGCTGAGTCACTAAAAGCTTCAGACGAAAGTGAGTGAAATGTACTTAGAAAGTGCTTTTCACAGACAAACATCACGAAGTACTCTGCAAAGGCATTATAAAAACACAGAATAACATGTGACTACCTGAGCCACGGAGTTAAAAGTGCAAAACTCTGTAATACAAACAGTAAACAACAATAATACACAAAAATAAAGCTGCTGTGGGTGCTAAAATTTTGACTTCTTAGAGAATCTGTTCAATTTTTTATTTTTATTTTTATTTTTTTTAACAATTTTTAAATGAGACATGTAGAATGAAGTGATTTGATGAAGGTTTCCTGGATAAGTAGTTTAAGGACAGTCAGAAAGTTCGTAATCCTCTCTTTTTACAGATTCTGGCAGATAAATGGTGTAATTTTAGTGATTACAAAGAAATAAAACAAATAAAATACATATATGATGTGATTTTCACAGCTCCTGGTAGGATTTTGGGTTCCAAGGGTTAGGATCTGACAACACATGTTGACTTGATTATGCTTGAGAGGCTAAAAAAAATAGTCTTTTATATGTTCTTCACTCATTAAGTTCTCTTAGGGCCATAATATTCCCCAAACACTGATGTGAGTTTGCGCTGCTTCTATGTACTTTTTCATGAGCACTAAGATTAGAGATGTACAGATTCAGAACAACGTGTCTGCTTTTGTCTCTATTTTACATCCTTGAATCTGCTTGTCACTGTTAAAGACAACCTCTTAAACTTTCTCAAGAGTTCCTTTCATTAATATCAAAGTCACAATTAAAAGAAGACAGCGCTTATCAAGTTTCTACATCATTTGCAATCATCTTCGTATTTGTCACGTTATGGAGACTTTCAAATTGAGACGCAGCGTTCATCAAATGAATGGATGCGATAATTGCAACTTTTTTTATGACTAAAGCTGGCAGCGCAGATTATTTTGTGGTCTGCTTCATTTTTAAATAATAGCCGACATAAAAAGAGCTACTCGCATGATTTATTCACATGGCGACATGAAACGATGTGACACAGCGAATTAGAAAAAAAAAAAAGTTTGGAGTAATCAATATGAGTTAGGAACTTTGATGCAACACAAGAAACGCATTGATTTAGTTAACGGTTCACTGTAATCGTACTTGTTGTCATAAATCTGTGAAGTTAGGCCCGTAACTGAGTGGAATAATTTATTGGGTAGAGCAAAGCTGCAACTGATTTGTAACATAGGGTGTGTGTTATTTGGACAGCGAGGCATTGTGGAGCAAGTTATAAAATTTTATAGACTGACAGATGGATAGACACAGAAAGGGAGACAAGCAGGGCACCTGGCAGGCAGGCAGGCAGGCCGCACATGTGTGTACACGCAGACACGTGCGCGCGCAGACACACACACACACACACACACACTCTTGATATTTGCATACTCACACATGCATCATTGTAACTGTGCTTTAAATAATGGCTGATAAATGCATGTCCTTCGCTAATCCCTCACCCTCAATTTATAAAACCTGATCTGATGGGAGTTACCTCGCTGAGAAATTGCATCTTAATGACGGGAACGTGGCAAACCTTCAATTCATAAGTCCCTCGAGAAGGTACAGGTTGTCCATATGAGTTGAATTTGTTCTTGTGCACCAGTAGAGGTTTTGGACGGCGTGTTACCTTTAAAAATGTCTCATCAGGGACGCCGCTATTGCTCAACGGGTTGAGCCGTCGACCCGTGTACCGGGGCTGTAGTCCCCAATGCAGCAGTCATGGGTTTGAATCCACCCTATGGTTATTTGCTCCATTCTTCTCCTCACTTTCCTGTCTAACTCTATACTGTCCTGTCAGATAAAGGCCAAAAAAATAAAACAAAATGCATCATCAATCAACACAATCTGTGGACTTTCAGCTTTGCTGCGGTCCTTGAATCATGCGTCATGTGTGATATGCAGGGTTTCGCTCTATTCTACATGTGTCATTCAAAAATTCACCAAAACAAACAAAAACAAATTCTGTGATCCTCGCTGCGATTGAGAAGCCACGAATACCTTCAGCTGAGAGCCCCACAGTTATATGACAGAAAGTCGGAGGCTTTTTGGCTGAACTGCAGGCTGTGTTTACACACAGCAGAGAGGAAACAAACACGGAAACAAATTAGGAAGATTGAGAGCAAAATAAAACATACTTGAGGAACAAAATAAATACAGCGTGGCTTTAAAGCTGTATACAGAGGCTCAAGTTGTCAGTTCGTTGTTGGAACAGAGATCTGTTTCTGCAGATGTGCATAACAATGTGAAAAATGCCTCGTTTGCAGAGGCTGTAAAAATCTAAGCAGTAGAATATCTATAATATGTCGATCCAGATGTGTTTTGTTCCAGTATTGATTCCACCTGTTGGCACTTGGAGGAATGCTGTTGATTCCATTTTTTACTTTTTTTTTGGTAAATTGAATAACCAAAAAATTCTTCTTCTTATGATCAATGGCGTTATCACTTTGTCAGAAGGTGTTTTTTGAGTTCTCTCTACTTCTCACAGTGGTTGTGCTTTTTTCTGTAGAGGTGCTGGACTTTATACTGCAGTGAAAAATGAGCCCAGGATGAGTGAGAAGGTTTAGAGGGTTGAAAAGTCAGACAGAATTTGCACTCGGTCAGCCAATCAATTTGGGGACGTTCGGATTTTTTTAGGTTTAAATCATCAGTGAAATCAACAGCTATGGATTTTAGATAGAACAAAAACCTGCAACGTTTCCACAGAACATTGATTTGCTTTGCCTGTTAATACCAAACAATAAAGACTCAGACACATGTTGCTTGTGTTTGCCATGAAACTGCCACTTTGATCATGCATACAATCAATTACTGCCTCCTGAAACTTCCTATGATTTGGATGTTCTGCATCTTTTAAATCCAGGTATTGAAATGTGTATTTGAACGTCTGCAATGGGCTGCAAACTGGGCGGTTTTCATTTTTTATAAATGGATTTTTCTGTTGCTGAATTAGTGATAACGTCCGTCTGACAGACCATCATGTCGCCGTCAGACTGAATCAGGCCGGTCATTAGCGGGTATTCCACTAAAAAACAATGAAAGTGTCATGAACCAGCTCTTAGGTAGCGGGGAAATTACCTCATCAGAGTTGTCAAGTTTTATGACAATGTTCTGTCCACATTTCGCCGGCTAATTATCAAGATATTTATCCGGTGTTAAGCCACATTTTTTAGTGGCTTGAGAGACTGACACGTCATTTTCTCGATAACCGAATGCCAATCAGCGGCAATCAAAGCCAAAGTTCTAAATTAGGTCTAATAAGAGTGTTAACTGAATCCCTTTTGATTTCCATATTCATCGCTTGTCAAAAATGTATTTCATCATCATACATGCAGTTTTAGGAATTCTTAGCAGTAATTGTCTTTTTCTCCAGTTTTGTTGACAACCGAGTCCAGGATTAGGACTTGCATGCATGAACAGTAACAGTCTGGTTCTGTATGAAAAGTTTAAATAAGATGATTTAATAAACGTGTGTGTGTGTGTGTGTTTGAGAGAGAGGAATAGTCGAGGAGTTTCATTTCATTTAAACCAGCAGTCTGTAATGGCCGTAAGTCACGTAATGGACACAGAAAAAAATATACACACAGTAGTACGAGCACACACACACACACACACACATACACACACACAGCGAGTCAGAAATAGAAAATCCAGTGGGCTTAAGTCGTCATTATGAAGAAAAAGTGAAAGTATTAAAAAAAAAAAACTTGAATGAAAGGGGTCTCTATTCTCTCCATCCCTCGCTCACTTTTTCTCTCTCCCGCCCACGTTTGGAAAATTCCATGTTGTAATTTGCTAAGACGAGATGCCCCTTCGACCAATGAGATTCTGGGGGAAGAAAGAAAAAAGAAGAAAAAAAAATTCAGGGAAAGAAGGAACGAGTGAGGGAGAGAGATAGAGATGTAGGGAAGAAAGAGGAGAAGGTAGTGAAGGAGACAGATAGAGAAGCGGTGGTTATAATCGGCTGTTAGGCGGTGTAATGAAACAGCTGTCAGACATATTTAACTTTCTTTTTCTCTCTCTGTACTCCATTTGTCTCTCTTATCATATGTCTTTGTCTCTCCTTCACCTTCCCCTCTGCCTTGTTTCTTTGCTCACTCTTTCTTATTCTAGCCAATCCATTTTTTTTCTCTCCCCCTGCCCCCCCCCTCCAGCTTCTTAATTTGCTTTTCCATTCATCTATCACCTCTTTCTTCTTCCCTCCTCTGTTCCTCGACTTTCACACTTTTCCCTCAATTTGTCCTGTTTGCTCTTTGCCTCTATTCTCTCTCTCCCTCGCCTCCTCTCAAGTTCCCCTTTATGTCTTTCTGTCCGTTCGGCTTGATGACTTGATGTTAGGCTTTTGGCTAATTACTTGGGCAGGGTCTGCGGGATGTGATGATTGTGGGATTGCTGCTGTGAGATCACACACAATAATGACTCCCATTTAGCCCTCGAGATTTATTCTCTTTAACTGAGAGGAAATCTACCATCTCACACTTAATTTTTTTAATATAATTATTATTATTTCAAGCATGTGTAGCCGCTTTGTCTTCCAATGTCACTCTGTGTCTTCAGGAGGGATTTTTATTTAAATTTCTGCGCTTTTATTGGATAAAAGTTTGGGCTCATTGTGCAGTTTTTTTTTAAACAGTCTTCTAAAAAACTCTCTAATGCACTTCATCCAGCTGCAAAAAAAAAAAAAGGGAAACCAAAGCAAGTCTGTCGTGTTACTCTGATTAAAGCTAAAGTACAAAATGACCTGAATATCAAGAATAAATGAATGAATATGTAAAAGATTTACCTGAGTGAGAAATCATCAGTTTTCTCCTTCAAATCTCAGCAAAATCCAGTTAAAAATGATAGCATTTTATGGCATTTGTGCAGTGTTTCCTCTGTAAAATTAAGCTAACTATGCTCCTGTATGAAATATTACAGAACAGTGCAACTTCTGCTCCCTCTAAATGCGGCCTATCTGTTCCATTTTGTTCCTGCCAACCCTCCACTCCCAGACTGCCTGCAGTCCAACCACAGATCTGTAAAGAGACAAATCCATATTGTACAGTAGTAAGTCTAATGTCACTGTGAGGCTTGCCAGCGTAGCCGGCAGAACACTGTAATCACCTGCAGTCTCGGGGCTAACTTAATAAAAAGCAGACGAGTGTCAGGTTGCTCGCTCCGTAAAGTCCTGGCCTCGAACGCTGCAGCAGAACTGAGCAGATATGTTATTGGTCGGTTAGTTAGAGCTAGGGCAGCCTTTTAATTGTCAACATACAAAAGATGATGATTTATGTTCATTGTGGGTTTGAGTAGCTGAGGCGTAATTTTCCAGCACAGCTGATTGAAGGCTTGTGTTATATGTTCCCCAAACATCGAGTGCCGAGGAGGGAAAATGTCAGTCATGTGTCTAATTTCTAATTTCTAATGACAAGATATAGCATGCACAGTACATCCACGTATATAAATCACACATCTAGTTAGGTGTAGCTTCAAGCGGCTTTAATTATAAATATATTTGTGCTTATTTTTAATTGGCTGCAGTGATATTTGTCATTTAAACAGGCAAGTGACAACAAGCAAAGTAGGCGTCCTTCTAACCATCCTGCCAGCTGTGTTTATATTTTTATTCTAACAGGATCTTTTTTGTCTTTTCCTGCCTGCCAACAGGTGACGTTGGGTGGCACGCTAATCGGGATCGGCCGGAAGACCTCTGATTGCCAGGGCAACACTAAGTACTTTCGCTGCAAATTCTGCAACTTCACATACATGGGCAGCAATTCCTTGGAACTCGAGCAGCACTTCCTGTCCTCGCATCCAAACAAAGTCAAAACTCCGCCGAGCACGCCCCTGCTGGCCACCAACAACCTGACGACGCACGAAAACCAGCTGAAAGGGAGGAGTCAGGTGTTCGACGGGGCGGAGCGAGTGGCGGTGCGGGCGGAAGACGACTCTCTGGTCGGGTACTTCATCCCCGTCCGTGCCGATTCCTCGGGCTGGACGGGAGAAGCCGGCCGAGGAGGCATGCAGGCGTATTATTGGTGTAAGTTCTGCAGTTGGAGTTGCGAGTGGTCGGGGGGTTCGGCGAAGCTTTTGGAGCACTATGAACAAAGACACAGAATGAGCGGTACTATGAGCCCCAACAACTCCAATCCTGGAGGAGAGAGAGAACGAGGAGGAAGAAGAGACGGAGGAGAACGAGACCACATGGCATCCAAAAGCCGTAAAGATCAATCATCCACTCCATCCAGCACCAGCCAAGGTAATAAAAAAGGATCAAGTGTGGTGAAATGTGGTAGTTTTTACTGTTACCAGTGCTGGGATCCTGCTTGACCCCTTCTGTTTTTATAGTGCTGTGACACTACTTGCTCTCTTGCATCGCACATCATGCTGCAATTTAAATTTCTCCTATTTGTCTTTTTTTTTCTGCTCCCAGGAGACCCAAACAGCAGTGACTCAGAAGCAGTCGTGACCAGTTACAACTGTCAGTTGTGTGATTTCCGGTACTCGATGGCCCACAGTGCAGATGTGATCGTGGTGGCGCCGTTACTGCTGCACTACCAGCATAACCACTCCATCCACCGCTGCTGCATCCAGCACTGCATGTACTGTCCACAGGGGCTCTGTCAGCCACATAAACACCTTGGGGAGGTGAGATTCATAAAATATTGAGATGTTTATTTGCTTGTTTTTTGCGTGTTTGCTTGGCAGTCAGACGAAGAGGGGGGGGATAAGCTGTTTTGCAAGTACGGGAAAATAAAAATGTAATATATGAACAAGTGTAAAGTTAATTGTTCCAATTTCCTGCCTAGTTAAAATTCCCTTGCTTCCCCCGATCTACCCACGCACTCTCCCCACCCTCCTTTGTGCCAGCTGCCAAACAGCGTCGTTAAAAAGCTGTTAAAAATGCAAAAGGGATGGTTAACATCCAAAATCGAGGGTGGCATCATTCAGTTAATAATGCACGTTCATGCTGGTGCTGCTGACTTCCACCACTTTGATACCACCTGTACAGAAAAACCACATCACAAGCACAGGAAACGAGAGAAATGTTCATCACATGTTATTTCCAGTCATAATGAAAGCATGAAAAGATCCAAACCGCTTCATTTGTTTCAATAGGTGTCCCACCCGTTCGCTTGTCGGAAGTCCACCTGCCCTAAATGCTGTGCAAAGTTTCCTCAGTCCACCAAACAGCAGGACGCCATCGCTTCAAAACCCGCCACCGCCACCTCGCCCAGTCTGACCCCTCCTAACCCTAGAGGCGACCCCGGTGTGATCTCCAACTTTCACCCCTCTAACCCCGCCCATCCTGTCGTCACACAAGGTATTTAAACCCACAGGTCGCCGTGCAAGAAAACAACAGTCGTTGATATATGTCCTGACTTTTCCCCTCTCTGTCCGACCCCAGGCGTCACGCATTTGTGCGACCAGTGCGCGTTCGCCACCACCGACATCGACGTGTTGCTGCAACACTATGAAAGCTGCCACACCCTGATCAACCTGAAGGGGGCCCCCCCACACGTCAAGGCCGAGGAGGAGGCTGGGGGAGACAAGGACGGAGGAAGAGGAGGAGCAGGAGGAGGAGCGGGGGAGAGGGAGTACTCGTGTACAAAGTGTCACTTCATCACAGAAGTGGAAGAAGAGATTTTTAGACACTACAGGTGAGCGACAGACATTGAATGGTTTGTTTAAAGTGTTGTTTTTGATGTAATGCAGTCGTGTCACATGATTGCATGGATACGATCCAAAGAGTCCAGTTTATAGTCTGTGACAGAATGACTGTGACTTCAACCAAGTGTCTAAAACATTCCAATCTCAAGCCAGGAAGATGATTAAGTATTGCCTGTGCTTTGATTCAATCCCCCGTAATTCTCTCTCTCTCTTTTCTTTTTACACTTAATTATCCAGGAAATGTTGACTGAGCACACTCATTTACAGCAGTGGCCCATTTATAAAATCCTACACTCGAGACACCCATTTAGACGTTCACACCTGGAAGCTACACAGACCTGATCGCATATTTGTAGACTGAATTTGAAGATGAACATCACCCACCGGTCTGCGATGAGCTCCGCTTAAAGAGTCAAACATCCAGTGACGCTCGGAAAGGGAAAATTCTGCGAAGCCGCCGCGGCGGTTCGACTCATGAACTACTCCTTGGCCTCTATTTTCTTGAGGGGCGACAAGCTGAAATGCGTTGGTCTCACATTTAAGTTGCTCTTTATAGTACAAGTGTTGCTGGAGGTTAGACATTTTAAGACTATTTCCTTTTTAAATGCGCCGTGGAAGCAGGGGAAGTTGTGTCAGAAAGTCCAATAAGCTTCACTGAAGGAGATGAGAATGTGCTTTTCAATTTGCTTTGCGCTGCAAGAGCAACGCCACGTCTGCTTATCTGCGAATTAGCGAGGACTTAATCTGATCTTGAAATCAAGTCAAGCTCGTAAAAAACTGCGATAATCTGTTGTTATTGACAAACCTTAAAAAGGGAGGAAAGAGGACCGGCCTGTTAGCACAGAATCGCAGATTTATTCACGACTAAGATATTCTGGCTTGTTTGTTGTCAAATGAGTCCTAAAAGACAAAATTAGGATGTTCCTTGCACAAACACATGTCTGCGTGCAGCGTGTTTGTGTGTGTCTGCTAAATACGTCATTAGCTGTGTTTCACAGACCTCTAAAAGCCTGAAGAGGCCAGACTAGACTCCACAGGCAATTTGTTGTCTACACACACACACACATTTCACTGGGGTTTCAGTGACAGAGCCAGCAAATGATAGAGAAAGCGAGCATGAGTTAGGATGGGAACGAGAGGGACAGAGAGAGAGAGGAGTGGTGTGGAAAACCTTTGGCTAAAAGATGTAGATACAAAGAGAGATACAGGGGACTGGAGATAGCTGTGTGAAATATTCTGGGCTATCTGAAATGTTGTTTTTGATATCTGCCCACGACTAAACTCACACAACTCGCTGTTTCTTTTTGCCTCCTCTCACACATATAGAAAATTACAGTCTGATGGCCATTTAAGTAAGATTTCTGCTGCAAATTAGTCCAAGATTTAAAAGCTCAGTTTAATTCAGGGTGAGAGCAGGAGAGGGAGAAGGAGGGAAGAAAAAAAAGACAAATGGAGTGAAAGAGAGAGAGAGAGAGAAAAAAAAAGAAAGAATTTAAGACAGAAGGAGAATGAAAGCAAAACAGAGAGGCAAAGTGGAGAGAGGGTGACAAAGCAGAGTTCGGAGGGGGATTTAACAGTCCACTCACGTCCCTTAACAAAATCTAAGCTCTGAATCTCGGAGCCCAAATCAAATAAAAGTGAAATAAAGCCAGAAAGTTTCACACTACCACTAAAATCAAACACACCTAAAAGGATTCCAAGGCCAAGTTTGAGAAAACAAAATTCAGGATTTAATTACGGGGTGCTCCGAAACAAAGGGACATGGTGTAATGGAGGAGGAGGAGGAGGAGGGAAAGTTACCAGCTGAAAGAAACTAATCAATTTGTTAAAGTAACTTTTGCACCTCAGCACTCTCACCTGTGTGGAACAGTCATCGTGGTGACTGAGAACAGGCGTTACATGAATATAATGGCAGAGTTTGGGGGTTAAATATGGTCAAACAGCTTTTGGTACCACATGTAAGAAATCCTGCCATATTCAGGAGTGTGTGTGTGTCTGCAGACCTGTTAAGTGCAGGTATTCACTGACTTCACAGGAAGAAGGGGTTGCGACCTTAAAACACAGATTTGTTATGCGACACAGATTTAGCTGCGACACTCACAGCATGCTGATCATAATTAATACGGATGTGTGAGATGTACGAGCTCTCTGCTCACATATCAAATGCGTTTGTATTGGATTTCACAGTTCCTAGTCGGAGATCAAAGGTCTCTCATCCACATATGGGAAGCAAACCGAATGTAAAGCTGCAGTTAACAAGTTCAGCCTGTGCTTCCATGTAGTCTGTTACTGTAAATTTAGATCTGTACAGCACCAGACACTCTTTTGCATTGCATTACAATTTCTTTGACTTGCAGCTATGTGAAATAATAATATAGAAGACCTTACCTGGACCATTCCTCTCGAGTTGATTGGTTTACTTTCTCTGCAGATCTTTTAAAATGCTTCCTCCGTGTTGCTTTTAAAATAAATATCACCAAGGGCAAAATAATATAATGAGTTTCTCAATTACCACCTCATATTGTTGCCTGTTTGCACTTCTCAGAGAAATCATTTCTCCTAATTGGAGAAAAGAAACAGCCAACAACACACAAAACAGCCTTAATAAGGGATAGCTCCAAACAAGGTATTAGAAATTACATCATTTTATGTTTTAAAACTTAATTTAATGTCCTTTTTTTTAGCCTTCTGTGACCAAAATCTTCTTCAGTGTGATAGATGCAGCTGTTGGCAGGGTAAAGGTGGATCGGATCGGTGCATGTGCAGAATGAATGATTTGAACTTCATATGTCATTAATGTGAAAGGGAAAAACAGTGACGAAGCAAGTGAGCGACTGAGGCGATAAGTGCACCGGTCCATGTGCGCCTTGTGTACGGTGACGACAAACAAAGGCCACTGTGTCTTTGTTCAACATCTGGAGGCGTTTAGGCGCCCTGGGGACAAGTTAGACTTTTGCACTCGCACATTTTCGCAAATTTCTCCTAATATTCAGACCTTTTTGATCTCCCGTCTTCGCTGCTCACCGCCTGAATCAGCGATCGACCAGGTCTTTTTTTTTTTTTTTATTTTCTCCAGCTGCTCACAAAGGAAGAAAAGAAAGAAAGAAAGCAAGGGGGCACTGACGAGGAATCAAAGACGGAGAAGATGCACGTATCTGCATTAAATTACCATCTCGCTCGTTGTCAATCATGCGTCAGACATACCGCTGACGATAAAGGAAGATATATCCTCTGAGCTTATATTTCGGGGTGTGTTCTTAATGTCTGTGTGGGTGTTCATCTTCTTCTTATTGTTTTTATATGTACGCCTTAATGTTTTGTTTTTGTTTTGGAGGATTGTGATGGGAGGGTTGAAAGCGGTAAGCAGAGGATGAGAGCTGCAAGAACAGACAAATGACACTTTGATACCTTTTTTTCCTTGCAGTTTAATTATATATATTATTTTTGCATGTTTATGTTGTTGCTGCCGTCAAACGCTCCCACTGCAGCGTGGCAGAAACAAGAAGTCACCAGTGAACACAAAAGTCAAACAAGTTTTAAAGTTGCACATAGTTGTTAGCATACTAGCATACCTGCAAAACATTTGAAATCCTTCTAAAAATCTGCTTCCCAGCGCGATCAATAAACACAGCAGGCAAATAATGAAATAATCCCAGCACAGAATAAATATACACTTTGATTATTCTTTAAAACACTCGTTCTCAGATTCATCGACGTCTGCGTCCGACAGCTGCTGTTTAATACTTTTCCCATATACCTAATGCAAATGTAAATGCGCTGCAGATATCGAGCCCACCACGAGCCACTGTAAACAACAGTCCAAGTTCTTGTTATAGATGGTTGATTGATTTTGCTTGGCCCGCACAAGAAGCACCAAAACCGTTTTCCGAGCCAGGAAAAAAAAAAAAAGAAAAAGAAAAAACCCCTGATGTTGTGTACTGGATATATAGCCGGTCATTCGGGACCTCGCCAACAGGAAATGAAGGTGGTTTGTTGATGAGTGATTCAGTACTTGTCATTCGGATTCATTTATGTTCCTCACCATTTTTAAGTAATTCATTGTGATTTAGTGGAACACTGAGTCACTTTTTGGCCACGGGCTCCGTGAAACTCTACCTGAGTGGTTGGAGGGAATCAGGCAGTTTAATGCACTTTACATTCAGCCAGTTCAGGGGGTGGATTTTTTATTTTTTTTTTCAACTGTGAGCAATTGCAAACCTTTTTTTTTTTTTAGTACATATCAAGCTGTGGGAACGAAAGCTTTTTGCATTTTGAATCGACAGATAGGGAGATGAACTGGTTTTTAAAGGAAACTAAACTGGTGACGGAAGTCTAACATTCAGTCTCATTAGTAGTGTGACGTCAGTGAAAGTTGTTCTCGGGACAAATTAACAATTAATGACACGACTTATTTGTCAAGAGGTAATTTCTCCAACGTTATAATCCTGTCAGCGTTTGACCAACACAAGATACACTCATTATGTTTAGATTTTAGTAGCATTACACTCATTTGTACACCTTTGTATGCGATAAATGTTCATACTATGGTTTATTCGTGCATGTATGAGTTACACAGTTTTGTTTTTTCTCCGCAGGCGTGTCCATGCGTGTTGCCGTTGTCGACGCTGTGATTTCACGGCCCCCGATTCATCGGCCCTCCTCGACCATTTTAACTCTGCCCACTGTCACGACTCCTCTCCCTCGTTAGGCTCATTCACCACGACCTCCCTGCCCACCTCGCTGACACCATCGCTGACGCTCTCGGCCAACGGCTGCTCGGCTCCCTCCACCTTGGCAATTAAAGAGGAGAGCAAGGGGGACATTCGCCTCCTCTACTCCCTCGCGCCGCCCGAGGGACGCTTGGCAGAAGGTGGCAGAGAGGAGCCGGGCGGGGTGGTCAAAAGCGAGGGAGGTGAGGAGAAGGAGAGAGAGCGAGAGAAGGGCTGGGTTCTGGGTGAGACAAGAGGACTGGGGGAAAGAGGAGGCGAGCAGGCCCACGGTTTGCTCTGGGTGCCCAAGGAGCGAATGGGACCCGAGAGAGGAGTGGAAAGAGGAGCAGGAAGTGGGAGCCCCTCTCTTTTCCCTTCCCCCCTCTCGCTGTCTTTTGTTTCAGCCAATCACGAGGCCTCGCAGCAGAAGAGAGGCGTGGCTTCACCTAGCATGGTTTACCTGGGAGACACCAAGTCGTTTTTGGGAGATACCAAGTCATTTTTGGGAGATGCCAAGCTGTACGGGGGAGGGAGACCAGGAGGAACCGCTGCAGCTGGAGGTGGAGGGGAGAAGCAGAGCCAGATGCCTCCCCAGCAGTACACGGCAGGAGGAGGAGGAGGTGCTGGAGGAGGAGGTGGAGGAGGGAGTGGAGGTGGAGGAGGACAGGACGGGAAAGGAGGAGCCACGAAAGAGGAGTCCCAATCCCTGCTTAGGGTAAGGGGCACGGACCTGTGCATACACCCCTACTTCCCTTTGTTTCATATTCATCAGCTCCTCTCATGTAGCCTAATCTTCCTCCTTTGTCTCATTTACACCCTGACTTCAGCTGTTCGTTCCGACTGTCTGAATGAACGCCTTTGTAGCTGGGTCTCTATAGCCAGATCCTACCTGCTGAGAGTATTAGTTGTCAGAGTGCTTCTATTAATACGCTTTCATCTTCAAATCATCTCTCCTTTGAATCAGATGTGAGGCTCGGATCTCATGCAGCAAGCCGCCACAATGAAACCTGTTATTCTTCCATCACATTTAAGGGGCTTATGCAGATTTATGTTGGCTAACAAAGTGCGTACGAGTGTCCCCACATGCTTGCATGTGTTCATATTTGTGTAAGCTTTCGTCCCTGTGCGTGGGATTCCATGACATAATTTCCTTTCCCATAAGCTGCATTCATCTTTTTTTTTTCTTCTTCTTCTTAAAATTAAATTTTAACTCACAACACTGAGAAACTTGCCAGTTGCCATGGCAATGGGGAGGCAAATTGACAGTTCCCATGGTTACCACCTGTCAGTCACTTCCCTCACCCTACTTTGTGGACCACAATGCTTTTCACTTGACAGTGATGTCATGGACTGGCAGGAACAGATTGTGGTTTGCCAGCGCCGCAGAGCTCATTGGCTATGATCACATTAGATCAGAATAGACTTAAGTGTGTGTGCATGCGTGTGTGTGTGTGTGTGTGTGTGTGGTGTCAGGGCATTGACATGGGTCTATGTAAGTGGTAGTATTGAGTGTGAGAGTGGTGTTCCTGGTGTGTGTGTGAATATCAGTGTGTGTTGTTGAGTCTATGGCTTCTTTGTACAAGTTGTGGTTTGGCCTATTGCGTGTGTGCGTGTAGGGTTGTGTGTGTGTGTGTGTGTGTGTGTGTGTGTGAGGTGTTGGCAGTAACTTGGCAGTAACAGACCGGGCAGGGTGGGGCAGCAAGAGGTTTACTCATTATCGTGGGTGGGGCAGTGTGTCTCTGTGAGAGAGTGGGAGACGGAGACTGAAAGAGAGAGGGAGAGATTGCATGCGTGAGAGAGAAAGAGAGGAAAATTGAGATAAAGAGAGGAAGATGGGGTGAGTCAATGAAGATAAGTGTGCAACGAAAAAAGTTAACCCTTTAGTTTTCCCTTCAGTAGAAAGTCAAAAAACACAAAACCTTTCATAAATCATAAAGTTTAGATTCTGTTTTCAGCGCAGATTCGACCAATGATCGACCCTGTGCTAAACACAGATCTAGAGTTTTAATTTTGTATTTATTATTCTACACTTTGGGTACAGTTTCATATGTGTCTAGTCTGTATGCTAAGCTAGGATAAGTAGGCACATTTCCCAAGCTGTTCAGACACTAGCATCAAAGTTTGAAAACACAGATGGGGTGAAATGTACATATCGTATTAGCTTTTCTAACTACTTGCTGAAGTTATATAAACACTCAAGACTTTTTTTTTTATGCCATCATCATTCAATCAAACGGAAACACTTTTTTCTTAATCTGTGTGACTTTAACTGTTGAACCCAACAACCCACCAGCGGGGTTTTTACTTTTTTCACCAAAAATTACACCATTTAACATTTAAAAACAAACTGTAAAGACAGGAAGAATCATAAGAAACGAGCTAAATTTAAGCTACAAATCAGGACATTCAGTCAAAATCTCTAAATAAACACGATTCGTTGATTCTTGGCGCCCCTGAGAAGCCATTAGGGACTCAGCTGTCATGTGACTGAACCTGGCTGAACTGCAGGCTGTGTACCTGTGTGCATTTAAAAAAAAATTATTTCTTGCTTTTTAACTTTGTTATACGTCAAAAAGGAGATTGTTGAGCTCTCTTTTTTCTAGCCATGGTTGTGCTGCTTTCACAGAGGTGCAGGACTTCAAAAATGAGCCCAAAGTGAGCCTCTATGCAGACTGTATACGGCAGCTGCATTTGTAAATGCCTACACTTACTGTAGCATAAACTACATCCAAACATTGCGTCTGTCTGTATCATACGTTAGAGCCTTAAGGAGTTTATATGTTCCCTAAGAGGTGAAGAAATAGTGAATCTGTGAAGGTGAGGAGATGAAAGAGGAAGAGAGGATGAGAAGAGACAAACAATTTATTAGAGGAGAAGCTGAACATAGCTTGTTATTCAAATGGCTTCATAAGATACGGCCTTTGCGGCTATCTTTCTCCCTGCTCTCATAACACAATATTTATTCTCAGTTTCCATGGCATGCACTGTCGCACACAAACACAAATATACCACACACACACACACACACACACACACACACACACACACACACACACACACACATGCTGGGGTTGACTCATCACTGGGCAGGGTTAGGGAGGGGCACTAATGCAAAGGATCATCTGAAATAGCTCAGAACGCACACAATACACACACATATGTATGAATTACGATGGTTTAAATGCAGACTTGGACGCGACACGGCAGATTTGGTGAAGGTGAGGGAGGGCAGCATGGAACTAGGGTGCACTAGGAAGTGGAGGATTGAAAAGAGACGAAGGCAGACACAAATGGCCAAAGTTATATTTCATCCCCTGGTGTGCGTGTGTGTGTGTGTGTGTGTGTGTGTGTGTGTGTGTGTGTGGTTCTGCACTCATGTGTGTTTGTGTTTCCCTCATCCTCACTTGTTCTTTCTATTCTCCGCCGCATCGATCTGTCTCTCCCCTTTTCGTTTCATTCTTTTTCTTTCATTTCCCTTCTTTTTCCTCAAAGGACAACTCACCTGATACACAGGGATCGATACACACCTCACACCTCACACACACTCACAAGCCATCAGACGCACACACACACACACATGCGCACACGGAGTCAGAGTTCTTAGTATTCTGGTATGTGAGGCTTTTTGCGTCGTAGGGGAGAGAATATTTTCTTCTGAAAGGCCTGATCTATAATTGCTGCACAGTGTTGCCTCGTTGAGACATTGCCCCGCTATTGGCTTTGTTTTCATAGTGATTTATTGCGTTGAAGACATTTTCTCAGTCTGAAATTTTATTTTCTGGCTGTTTGACTGACTGTATGAGACAAGGATAGAAAGCGTAAGAGGTTTAGCGATGAAATTAAACTAAAAGCTCGCTTGACGTTTTAGTTTATAAATGGAATGAGACAGACTTTGAGTAATGGTGGTTTTTCGAGTTAAGTAGGGCTGAGGAAGGTCCGCCTCTGAGCCAAACATATGTGAAGGCATGTAGATATACCAAACATATGTGAATGGACCCAAAAATGTAGATCATCTAATAAATCCCAGATTGTGTTTTCAAAGGGAATTCCACCTCAAGGACAGCCGAGCAGATAAATGGAGGCGAGCGGGGAGGGGAAGGAGTTGCGGATTTGACCTTACAAACACAATGTAATTGTGTTCATCTTATGTGGTCATAATGCGGCACCGAAACACGGACCTTTTGGGGTTTTAAAAGTCCCATGCGTGACATTCAATTCCACGCGAGTCGAGAGACAGACGTAGAAAATAGAGACGAACCGAGGGAGATAAACGGGAATGTGTGCTTTCAGCAGATCAGAGAAGAGTTTCATTAAAGTTTCTCTCGTTTACATTTCTGCCCGACGGAGCTAATTATGTTTAAAGGACACACACACACACACACCACACACACAGTGACACACACACACACACAGAGACAACACACACAGCTGTATTTCCATAAAGTTCTCATTACTTTGCGTTCTATTTCCCTTCGTTCCTCTTGTGTAAATTCATGCGTGCCAGTGTACATGTGTATCTGTGGGACAGTGTGTGCTTTCCACCGCTTGTGTACTTAATTATGTGCGATGTGTCTGCATTTGCATTCCGAGTGCGTGTCGGCGTGTGTGAGACTGTGTGTGTGTGTGTGTGTGTGTGTTTTGTAAGGAAATTAAAGCATGAATTTAACTTATTTTCTGTGCTGATAATTTAACATCACTTTATATCCGCTACAGGAAATTATGGAGCTTATGTTCGAGCCAGTGTGTGTGTGTTTGTGTGTGTAAGAGAGAGATTGTGTGTTTGTGTGCTTAATGCTCTTTGAAAGACAAAAAAAGAGGAGGGAGGAAACTTTAGTGATTTAACTTCTAAATAATGTTCCTTTATTTTATCTTGCTGTTATCTGGAATCTATTTTACAGCCCTCTTTTTTTTGCCATTGTGCTTTACACTCTTACTACAAATTCCTTTTAGAAGCAACAGCTTCAAATTGCCTTTAATGTATAGTAATGTTTTACTTTCTTCTGTAGGACAAGTGAATAAAATGATAAAGCAATTTGTTAGGCTGGGAAAGATACTTAGGGGGAAAGAAGCAACTGGAAAAGTCGCTGATATATCACTACTGCTGCACATAACTAACTACTTTGATGGTGAAACAAATAAGTGCCTGTTTAGATTATGAATTCCAGCATTACTCAATGTTTAGATTAACTTTTAACTTAAGCCTGAGGTTGTTTTAGACATGTGCAAGCTAACAATTAGGATGGTCAAGAGGCTGGCTATTGTAATGTATATTAATCGCTGTTACAACACTATTAAATTATGTTGAAAATGAGCTTTGATGATCGGCACACAGAGCGGGCCTGTTGACAGACGAGGCTGGTAAAAACTTTATGGATGGTTTCGTGGTCCAGTGGTCGGTACACCAAAGTGGCCAAGTGTCCTGTTTCTCGGCACAGGCGAGAGACATGCTGGTGGCAGCTTTAAGGTGGGGTCTTACAGTTTTCAAGATACCGAGGATAAAGTGCTTAACGGCTAAAGCTACTGACTACGTTACATGTTGCTCATAAGGTTTACAACTTAACTGCAGTTTAAAAAGCATCCTCCCTGATGCGTAGGCCCGGCGGAACACACCGGCCAAAACCCTGGTTATTTATTTTTGCAAGTTTTGCGTGTAAACTTGGTGCAAATGTCCCCAGAAGGTGGTCCGTGCTTTCATATTATCACATGAACTTACAT